GCGATTACAGGCCATTCTGGTTGGAAAAATTCGCTACCTTGGAACAACCCCTCAGTCAGTGACAATGCTGAGGAGGTTCTTCCCATGGCTATTTTTGCTTTGAGGCTTCTGAACTCTAGGTGAAGACAACAAAAAAAGTGACTATTAAGCTGGTGATTGGGATTGCACAATTATTTCACCAGTGATCAGCGCTGCAGGTTATGAACCAGTGTCTCAGTGACAGGTAAATTAGTCCATGAGGAACAGTCATTAAAAGGAATGTAACCGGTTCAACATGGATGACTGTGCTCCCTTTGAGCCTATGGGACACTAGTTCCTCCAAAGTGGAGGCTCCTGCTGCTGAAATTGCATTTTTGAGTCCTTCTCAGGAGAGTCCCCAGCCCTCAGAGGAGAGCTGTGATGGACAAGAGCATGGACGGATGAAGGCAGGAAGATTTTGTCCACACCCATTCCAAAGATTTACAGGCTCCAGGGAAGGCAGGGAGCCAGGAATAAAGTGAAATATCCTCAATGAATAATTCATTTGTTGGAAAGTGGTTTTCCAGGGAAACTGAAGCCATACAGAGATTAGGACAAATTCAGCTGAAGCACTCTCAGTCATAAAAAAGATGGATAGGAGGGGAATATACAAAAATCTTGAAATATGTTGTAATATCTTGTTTCAACCATCTGGATAGATTCCTTTAAAAGGCACATTCAAAGCCTTGGGGGTTTTTGTCTCAAAAAAATTAATTTTTCTTTTTTTTTCCTTTTTTTTTTTTTTAAATATGCGTAACTTAAAAGAGCAAATGCACTAGAAGGTGTTAAATGATCTGAAAAAGAAATTGATGCTGATTTGTGTCCTTAGGTCCTGTTATTTTGTTCCTTTTATGCTTGCATGGGGAGCCCAGCACTAGCTGACACAGAGGCCAGCATTGAGATTTGTCTGGTCAGAGCATCTCCTTTTCCTGCATTGTGGCATAATTCTCAGAGTTGTAGTGTTCAGTGAAGTTTCTGGGAAAACACAGGAAATATAGCTTGTGTTTTGTAAAATCTCTGGTGTATGGATTGGAAGGCTTGCCCACCTCGATGGAGGAGGCTGGTTTTGGTGAAGTTCACATTCACACTCCTCCCTGCGGCCAGCTGGCCTGGCGAGCCTCAGCGGGAGAGAGTGCTCTTGTACTCTCTTAGAGATGCACATAAACCATCTCCTTGGTCAGCAGCAGTGTGGAGCAGGGCACGTGTTTGTGCTTTAGGGCAGGAAAGCTAACAGGAAAATGAAGTGCTTGACTAGAAAGATCTCCCAGGAACAGAGAAGCTTCAGAAGGTTCAAGGGCTCTGTGGTGGCACTGTGAGATACAGTTTTGTTGTGCACTGCGTAAATCACGAGGAATTGTCACACATTGACAAGGCAAAGACAGGGGCTTGTCAGGAAGGTCCTGGCTGTCATTTAGTTTTGATAATACTGGCTTTCTTCATTAGAATTATTATCTGATGCAACCTAAGTGTACCATGGTGCTTAAGTTAAAGCAGTATGAGTAATTTAGTCAATTAATTAGGTGTGGGTAGCACTTACCTTCCACTGTGAAGGGATCAAAGGAAAACACTTAATAGCATTTATGTTCTTGTTGTTCTGCTCCATACCTTAGCATCCGTTCATTCAAATAACCCTCTGACCCAAATGTTAATGTAAGTTATTATATTGAATTATTCTGCTTTGGTGAACATTTGTACCCTGCATCGATGTCACGACTGCTGGAACTCAACACATGCTGCTTTGTAGTTACTGGAAGTGGACAGAAAATGGCCACATGAGTGAGGAACACCCAGATAGCTCTAAACCTCTGCCCTTCCTCTATGAAATATTTCCTCGTTTCTTCCACCGAAAAAACATGCAGAGAAGCTGAGAGGGAGATTCCACAGATAGACCCGGGCCTCTAGCACTTGTGGGTGTCAGTGTCCCCAGATGAAGGAACTTGAATGGAAAATTACTAGAAGGGGAGCATTAATACAGAGAAGAATTTGAATTGGAGTTTGTGGATACTTTTTATTTGTGGTCTTTTGCTGTTTAACTGTTGTGGTTCAGTACTGGGGCCTCTGCAGAAAGAAGGGGGGATGGAAAATAAGGATAATTTTCCTTTGACTTCATTATTGCCAAGGTTTTCCTCCACTTCCCTGAGGAATTTATATTAGAGGTTTATTCTACTAACAGTCTATTAGCAGGATTGGCCCCTTATTGAAAGCATGATGCAGTGCATAAGATTAAATAAGGTAAAATAAGATGAAGATGTAAGAAGTTAGACTGTGTGTGAACCCTGAATGCTTTTACCTCTGTGCTAAATGTATTCAATTGGTTATTGATTACATTGTGAACTGAGACATTAGAAATGGCCCAGACCTTGCTAACACTGTCAGCTAAGAGTAACACATGTAATACATACATTCCTGGTGAGACTCTTCAAGTTTGAGATACCAAGTTGTTTTATAGCCAGGATTTTGATTTTATTTGTCTGTGGTCCTGCTGTTGAGTAAAGGCAATTACATTATCTCAGTGTCATAAATATATTTGATTTTTTTCTTTAGAATGACATTATTTGTCTTCTTCAGCCATTTAATAGAATTTAATGCTGTTTAGGACTTTAAAAGACAAGGAGAAATGAGGCTTTATTCAATTCAATAACTCCTTTGCCTAGGATATTTTTCCACTTTAAAGATTTTTCTACTTGAAACAATTGAGACTCATTTCATGTTTTCATTCAAGAGTTTGACAAATGGTAGTGCCAAACACAATCACAAGAAATAAAATCTTTTAGGACATGAGCGGCAGTAACAGGGAGATGGCTACACAGCTGGTTTTGGTTGCATCCCCGATAGAAGGATCTCTGCACTGTCCCTTAATACTATACAGGAGGTGGTATAGGTATGTGGCTGTGACCAAATGTGTGCTGGTGCACTGACCTCCATTCAGGTGCTACATTTTCCTCTGCTGAAGGTTTTTGAAACAACAGAGCGGTCTTTCAGGTATAGGCCATACCAGATCCACATCTGTGCGTGTGAGCATGAGAGACAGCTCCCTCAAATGATTTACTCCTGTAACTCTGGTCTCTCTGTTCCTGGGAGAAGTAAAGGAGAAAAATGCCAAAAGTGAAAGACGAAGGGAAAACACAGAGACTGCAGTGATGCCTATTAAGGCTTTCTCACAGATTGCATTTCTTAATCCGTAGCCTCAGCAAATACTGAACAGTACTATATTCTGTGTTTCAACAGGCAAAAAACCAAACTCTTGCACACCAACCCTTCATAATGTCGCTGATCACTGTCACTCGGTCACTGATATATACCCAATACATGGGAAGCTTTAAAACACATGCTATGTTTTCCCCCAAAAATGCATGTAGAGCCAAAGCTAGATACAAAATAATTAAAAAACTGATAATCACCCAGGAGATGTGTTTGAATCCAATATTGCAATCCTGTCCATGTGATTAATACTGCACTGCAGCAGTGTATGTGGAGTTTTCACATGCCTAATCTTGGGCAAATACATAAGCTCTTTCCCCAGCTGGTAATGTAACAAATCCTTTTCTTAGTCTCCAGTTCTGTGTGTCCAGTTGAGATGTAAGGAGAGGAAAACAATTTAACTGTATTCCAGTACAATGTACCCTAAAGCCTTCGTGTGCACCTATGATCTACTAGTGCCAAAGGGATGTAGTTAGCATGGTACTTTTGGTGGTGTTTGGTCTTTGTAAAGATTTAAGTCAGTTCAGATCAAATACTGGGCAGTACAAACTGGATTAGCTAAGGTCATACTCATTCTTCAGTCCAAAGGTATCCATTTGCTAAGGTGGACAGCAGTTTATGTAAACCCTGTTGTTTCCAAGCAGTTACCTTCTTCGCTACCAAGCACTGCCTAATGTCTTGAAACAGTTATTCTTTCATATTACATTCAGGACATGATTGAAGGGCTTCAAGAGGGCAGTAAAAATGTGTGTGGTTCATCTGGATGCTTGTTGCTGTTTTCTGGAATTTGAGTTAATGAAATAAAAGTTTGAGAAAACTGCTTGTTTTGGTGTTTGTTTTGGTTTTTTGTTGTTTGGGGGTTTTTTTGTGTGTGTTTTTTGTTTTTTTTTTTCTTTTTTAATTATCTCAATCCCAGCTTGCATTATCTTCCAGAAATTCTGTATTGAATCCAGCTGGAAATGACTGCAGTATTATTTTGCTGTAGCACTAAAGCATTTTGTCTGGAAGTTCAGCTATTTAGATTACGCGTCCCTCTTGAAGCTTAATGTTCAAGAGCTCTTCATTAGAAACATCAATGGTATTAAATAGAAATGGATCTAGTATGATGTTATAAAAAAATCAGACCAGTAATGCAGTATCCCGTTAGTATAACATTTCCATTATAATAAATTTCATGTAACTCTGAATTCTTTAACATGGAGGAGGGTAACTAAAGTAACACAATATATTTATTTTACTACTAAAAGCTTTAATGAACTTCAGGAAAATAGTTTCAATACAGTGTTGTAAAAGCTCTGTTACCTTGTGCACACTGACCTCAGTCCTGCAAACAATTACACTTGGGTACAGCCCCGCTGACTGCCAATGGTCAGCTCATCTGTAAAGTGAAACATGCATGTGTATACTTGTAGAGATCAAGGCCTTACTCTAGTTTGGAAAATTCGAAATATTTTAACTAAGGGGTAGGTTTTGCAACAACACTCCAGCAAGAAAGTTTTCCTTAAAATCAGGCAGATAAAGCTTTTTTCTCTGCCACTGACTAAAAGCTCCTTCTAGCTGGTACTGAATAGGAAATGCCAGACGTGCCCTGTGAACTTGGCCACACTTCACACGTAACCAGCCCACGGCGGGTGGGTGAGGCCCATGCCTTGGTCCTTCACCATGGACAGCCACCCCCATTGCGGCAGGAACTCTCCTCAAAGGAGGTGCCTCAATTTTGGGTCAGAGAGAGAACCAGTTCCCCCTCCAGTCTCTTAATTCCCTGTTGGTTTCTCCCACAGCTGGCTGTTCCACACAACGACGAGTGGACCCGCTTTGCTCGGACCTTGGTGGAAATCCGTGCCAACCGAGCAGACAGCGAAGAGGAAGGGGCGGTGGAGCTGTCAGCCTAGAGGAAGAGGAGCCGCAGCGCCTGCTGCCGCCAGAACAGCAGCTTTCACCCGCTGAGTACACCGGTGTTCAGTGTCAGTCAGTCTTGCTGTGGCTTTTGATGCCAGTGTACATGCCAGTATTGCTCACAGCATTCTATATTAATCACACTGCTTTACACAAGGCTGAAAATATCCAGAGCATTTTCATACTTTATATTTCTGTCTGAAAAGTAAGAAAGAAAAGACAAATCAACCCTTTATGGGTTTAGTTGTTGCCTTTTAACTACTTAGTAGCTGTATTTAATAGCTAGGAACCCCTGGTTAAACTTGTGCTCACATTGCCCTTCTGGCATAGTCCTATTAAATCCATATGAAGCCAGATATGATTATGTGCAGATGTGGTGTGCTTCACTGTATGGGACTGGGCCAAAGACTTTAGATGTGGTGTTTCACATGGTGACTTACATTATGAATGGATGTACTATACGAAAGTTGCTGCTCCTTATTTATTGCGGTGTGCTGCATGGAACATATTTATTTGAAAGCATTAAAATAAACGATCCTAAAGCATGTGCATAATGAGAGAACTGCATTGTCTGTGTGCTGCTGTAGAGGTTACATTAAAGTCCACGTAACAATTACAGTACATCAGTTGTGCTTAAGATATAAGATCTATAAAGGTTGGCTTGAGTGGATGGAATGAGTTTCCTTTCCTTTTTTTTTTTAAGATGCCTATTATTTCTAGGCACTTTAAATATATTTCAAATACAGTTGGTCACTGATACTTGTCATGCAAGTTAACACTAACAGTCTGACAAAGGGTTGTGGTTCCCGAGTATGACACTAGTATTTGCCAATAAAATGTATCAGGCCTGTTCTGTTGCAGTGTGGTTAATCTTTCCTTGCCAGCAGTGCTCAGTGTGTTCATTACCAGTCACTGGTGAAGCACTGGGAAAATGTGCCTGCCCTGACTCACAGAAGGCTCCTGCAGCTGCCATGTAAATAGATACCTTTGGTACAGGACTGGCCAGTAATGGACTTGAGCGCATCAGATCCTGCTACAGATTTTACATGAGCAGGCACGAAGGCATGTCAGCTTCTAGGATAATTTTTATTTTTCCTCCATCCCTAGCATGCTCACTTGCACACATGTGCACACACAGAGCAGCACTGTGCTGCCATATGTGCTAAAAGGAATAGGCCTCCTCAGACTGTCTTGAGAGAGAGGTTAGGACAGGGGACAAGGGAATAGGCTCCTTTACGATAATCTCTTGTGACTTGAGAAAAGAAACAGAGTGCAGACTGATCTCATTGAGTGCTGTGGTCCAGAGGCACCAGAGTTGGTGGTGAGGCTGCTCGATACATTCATGCCACAACATTCTGCTGAGCCAGAGCACAGCTCTGACACCTGGGCTTAGCAGCAATTCACACTCAGAGCCATAGGGTGAGCCATTACAGCAAGAAATGCTGCAAGTCAGACAAGAAAGGTCTTGTTACATTGTTTGTAGGGGAGCCATCTCTGGTCTTTGGATAATCATGTTCAGGAATATATCATCTAATCATATTTGGGGCTATGGTTTAAGAGTAGGCTAAGAAAATGAATCCTTTGGAAAAGCTGCATTTCCTTTATCTTCTTGGTGGTTAGAAATAACTCCCAGTGAGAGTTCATGAAGACAGTGCTACTTTATTCTTCATGATGAGAAATGAAACTATCTGCCCATGGAAGTGTTCTGCCATTGGGCTGAGGGGAATGTTCTCCCAGATGACCAAGTACACACAGCAGAGACACCTCAGTCATGGGTCCTGTAGCTCCCTCAGGTTGTAGCCACGTGTTAGAGAGCTTTGTGTTCCTGCTGCTCCCCTGGGTGCTTTGGCAGCTGTCCTGAAGTACCAATGTAATATTGCAGCACTTCTGTAGCTTAAAGGTGAATGCTAACAAACAGCCAGGTGAGATAACTGTAAAGCAGCAGTTTAGTCATCATCTCTGGGGTTTTTCCCCAGTTTTGCCCTGTTTTCCTTTCAATAACCATATGTAAGTGTTACCTGTATATGTGGGTAAAGTAGCTGTGGTACCAAGTGGAAGTGGGAGAGGCACACTTGGACTACACTTGGGTCACAAGATTAGGAACACGTGCTTGGGCAGATACACAGCAAAGTACTGCTGTCATGGGGAGCAGAGGTGGCACTTGCTACCCTTCCACCTGCTGAGTAAATCCACACCTCAAAGTGTGGAGACACCCTCCTGTTACACTGTGGTGTAACAGGAAGGGTGTTCATCGTAACCAGTGCAGTACAAATGGTTGGTAAATATACTTCTTCCATGTTACTGTTTGGGGGTTTGCATGTTTATGTCCAAGCTCTCACTACTTCATGGCATTAATAGCTTGTAAAAATGGTTTCAAGGGCAGCCTCTCCTTTTTTTTTTTTTTTTTTTTTTGGTGTGGGGTTCAGCAGTACACAGACGGAACAAGGAAAAGATGCAGATTTCTGCAGAAATGACAAGGTTTGTAAATACAGAGCAACAACATGAAAGGGCAATTTCACACAGCTGAAGCAGATGGAAGAGTACCCAAGAATTTACTCCCCTTCTGTTGCTCCTGATGTGTGGTGGAGTTTCTGATTCGCCCTTGTTGCTGCCCTTCCAGGAATCACCACAGTTCTTGTTTGTTTGATTTTCCTGCTGCTAAACAAATAGCTCCACTTTACTGGCTTTCCAAAAAGAGCCCATATGACAAAATGTTCCTCAGAATCTGCCCAGTAGGGAAATAAATACAAAATCATCATTTATTTTGAGCAAAGAGAAATCATCTTCTCCAGGCTCTTTAGCCTACAAACATACAGACAACAGAAGGCAGAACATGAAGAGTATGTCCCATGCACTGCTGAGATGCTGCCATGACTGCTCCAGAGTCAAAATCAGCCTGGCTCTGTTTTAGGGCCATTGCAAGTAAGTTTCTGTGAAGGACATCATAAACTCTGTGCTCAGACTGATCTGGAGAGCGCATCTGAACCACTGAGTCAGAAAAAGCAAACCCAACTAGGGCAGAAGCAGCCAAGTGGCAGGAAAAGGCTGAACTGAGGTTTAGGATGAGGAGAAGACTGCAAAGTGGATGTGGAAGGGACACATCTTGAACCTGATGAAGGGAAGACCTTGATTTTGGTGCCAAGGACTTGGGATTTGTTCTGAAAGGAGCTGCGAAAGCATGTAGCGAGACATGACAAGTGGCACTGGGGGTGGGAGCTGAAGGCATTAGCTAAAAGGGGAAGCAGGGTACTTCAGCTTTATCACATGCACTCTGTTCAAGAGCCCCCATGGTTAACACAGAAAGAAGATGAGCTCACGAAGCAAAATGGCATCCCACGTAGAACAGGATGGTCTCCGTTGACCAGTGACAAAGGAGACTCTGCTATCATCAGGGCAGCATCAGTTCTAAGGAAGGACTCAGCATCTAATGGTGCTAAAGAGTATCCACCTGTTCTTGAGAAGCTCACAGAACTGGTTCTCCTTCAAAGTCATAAGCAAAGCTACTTCTGTAGTAGCACCATCATGTCTGGTACATGTCTGCACAGCCTGGGGTGTGAGTAAGCACAGAGAGAGGCCAGGCAACCCTTTGCAATGTAACTGCAGCAACTGGAATGAATCTCTCAAGGAGTGGTACTGCTTCCTGCTGCAGAGAGGAACAGTGCAAGTAGCAGTTAAAATGATAAATACACTTCTTAAAATGTCATTTCTCTGAAGGGCAGCAGACACCTTGATGACATCCTCATGTTTAGCTCTGGGAGAGGCTGCCCGAGCTCACAGCCTGAGATATCCACTGCCCTCCATGCAGAAAGCAGAACCACCGTATGGCAGGTGGCATTAAAGAAGCTGCTTCATGCCAGGCTGCTTCTGTGTTATTTGCTGTGTTTGAAGCTCTCTGGAGACAGACACTTAAAATACAAATGTCTTGAGACTTCTATATTCCTAACCATTAAATAACTTACAAATGATCACCATCTCTGGAAATCGCCTTCTAGTTTATGCAAAAATGGCAAATATTTAAACTGAAACCAGAGTTTGAATTTCACAGCAGTGTTTAAACAGCAAAGCTGTAGGATTCCCAATTGCCCCTCTGCCACGTGTGCGTTGGAGAGCTGTGGAGCTCAGCAATAGGCAGTGTGACGTGTATGCACATCATGGAGTGTACAGCAGGGGCATTCCCGAGCAGACTGTCCCCTCCTAAGAAGATGCAGAGCAGTTTGTCAGGTTTTATATTTTTAGCAGGTTTAGAAAAACCTGCCCAAGTTATTTTTGAAGCCTGTAGTATGTTTGCTCACACAAGTGGCCCTGCAAACCGTCAATATTAAGTCAGCTTAAACCCAACCCATTCCCTGGGGACCAGGCAGAAAAGCATCTCTCGGCTTCTGCTGGACTGAGAAACATAAATATGGGGTAACTGCTCCAGAAACACCCCTGATGGGTAACATCACCAGTATCTGGTCATTTCTTTTTTCTAGAAGTGCTGTCACAGGGAGTTAGCTGGACTGCAGGAAGCAAGTGAGGTTACATTTTATCCATTTGCATAATTCACTCAGAAACCCAGAGAGGACAAACATTGTCCTCAGGGCCTTTTGTTTGTTTGCAAGGCAATCTGACGATTTCTTGGCCTGTAAACTTTTCAGAGCAGGAATGCATCCTTTTGTGTCTGGAGGAAACCCACTTTGGACACAGATGTTCCCCCAGATCTTTGAAATGTTTTGAACTGGGCTGCCTGTTAACAAAGTAGCCACTGGCTCTTCAACCCTTCTGCCCCTGCCGCCAATGCCTACTGGCTCTGAAAAGATGGGAGGAAGGAGAGAACAATCCTCCGGAAAAGTTAATGGGGAAGGGAAGGGCCACCTTGGGTGGGGGTGTCAGTCAGCCCTGTTGATGTGCCTGCCAGGGAGAAGATGAAGGCTGTGGCCTTCTGAGATGGATCTGCCATAGGAGAGCTGTGCCTGACCTTTGTTCCTGGGATGAGAGCTTTCCTCTTCATCCCTGGAGTAAAGAACAAGTCATAAATATACTGCCAGGCCTGGGAATGAGAGGGCACCAGCAGGCAGGGAAATCGGTCTGACTTATGCTTTGTTTTGTAGAACACAAGCAACGGTCTTTACCACACCAGCCAAGAAGTTGTGCAAGCCCAACAATAACCCAGCTCTAATTCCTCTTCCGTTCCTGGCTGCAAAGTCCCAGAAGCACTGGGGTTTGTCAGGCAACAGAGGGACGTGTTCTGGAGCGTGCAGCCTGGGTGTCCCTCTCCAGGCTGAGCCAGGAGGGAGCAGCTGCCAGCCAAGCCCATGCACGTGGCCAGATACTTCCTCTCCTGGACCGGGGAGAAGGTGCAGTTCAGTGCTCAGACATCGCCCCTGAGCTGCTGACTTTCCACAGAAACCTTTGACAAGGTATGTCAGCAAAATGTGAGGGATGAAGTGTAAAACCAGTTCTTATGCAGCCTGAAATTTCAGATGTCAAGCACAGGCAGCTCCCAGAGAAAATGTTTAACTTTTATGACAAGTCTTAACCAAAAATCCTGACAGCTAATTTTGAAGTAATACAAGGGACAGCTTTTTTCCTCCCATTTCTGAAAAGAAGAAGGTGTCATTTAGGGAGACTCGGATACACAGGGCTGGAAGGAAGCAGCTGGTGGCTGTCAGAGCCCAGCGCAGTCTCTGCACACTGGTTTAGCCAGACTCCAAGATGCAGATTCAGGTAAATGTCATCTGCTCCCCACGCCTTAACATGCATGAGTACTGCAGATGCTATTCCTGCCCCGACTCAATTTCACTGTTAACTTCAAAATACAAATTAATCCAAGAGAATAATTTTCATGATGACCCAAACACAAATGCAAAACCAGAGTGATTTCCATGTCAGTATTTCCACAAGTTACAGGACAACAGTGCGATATTGCACACCAAACGTCTCCGAAGAGGCTGCATCTGTGCATTCCCTCAGTTTACAGCCAAGGTTGAAGGCACCCACCCCAAGGAGACAATCAAGACCAAATTCCTCCTGATCTTAGGAGGTACCATAGAAGACACCCAACAGGACCTTCAAGTGACTAGATAATTAGGCTGTTCATAACTGTTAACCTCCACCCAAAAGAAAAAGGTCAAAATATCAAAGCTTACTCCAATCCTGGCTTTTGACAGAGGAAAAGTTCCTTTTTTTTTTGAGTGACATCTCCACCAACAGATGTATTTTCTACGCAGGGGAATTGAGGTAATTTGTTCTCAAGCTGCTCAATTTGTTCTCAAGGTGTTTTCGTAGCCTACAAGTGCAAACATTAACTTTATCTTAACCTGACTTTGTAACTGAAGTTGAACAAGACATTTGATGTACTGCACTATTTCCGTAACAGAATACCATGTGTGCGTCTGTTTGAAAGGTTTATTTCTATCTTCATAAATACAGAATTTTCCAAACACTGTGCAAGGCACCAAAAATTAAGTAAAATCTTTTATTTTAGATTATTTTAATCTCTTTTGACTTGATGAAGTAAATAAGAATCTGAAACCACCTATATGCCAATTACAAGCCAGCAGTTAAGGCAGGTACCATTGATACAGTGCATGAATTTTCTATTGCAGTTATTTAAACAAGCAGCGTTTTACTATAGAAGTGCATATACAAACTGAATTCCAAACACCAGCAACCCAAGATAGGCACCTAGTTATGAAATTTCCTCGTATGTGTAGTAGAATGCCAAAAGTTCTGCCATAAAGTGCAAAGACTATGGACAATAACACTTTCTTTTGAGCATTTTGATACCAGTAACATAATACAACGGCTAAACATTTATAAATGTGGTTTTCATTACAAAAACATGTTCCACATAAAAGCTTCATAATACAATCCAGAAACAGAAGTTGTGCGTGTACAGATTTAAAAAGTTGAAGCTGTACTGGCATACTTAGGTACCGGGTATATATTTGCTGACCTCTACAGACACGCACCAAGTTTATAACCAATTTACACATACAGTCAAAATCATTCTGCTTTGAGCACCGTGATATCCACTGAGTTTTTCCATTCGAGTGACAATGTGCGACATCTGCCCTGGTAATCTGCAACTGCGCATTGCCTGTAAAATGATCTGGTTCACAGCTCTCACCCAGCCCTCCCTAATAAACGGAACCTAAAATTAGTGTCTTCCCAACACAAGCACATGTCAGATGTGGACAAATACATTCATGGTCCCAAACTTAAAACAACTGGTAAGAATTTCACAGTGATCTGGTTACGGAAGCACAAAGACAAATGATTACGTTTAAGATGAAAATTACCTTAAAACTCAAATGAAGCTAAACTTTTATATGATGAGAAGCTAAAGGAACAAAGTAGTAACCAATTAGAAAAGTGGCTCTTTCCTAACTAATAACAAAAACCCTACAGCAATAAACTTAGGGTCCTACTGCTACAGCAGCCGTTGAGGTAGGTGGTGATGGCTTAAATCGAGGTAGGTAAAGTCCAAACTTGTTTTCAATCCCTGCAAAAGTGGCAACTGCCAATTTATAACCGCCAACATGGTCAGGGTTAGGAGCAGGGAGCGTGATCCTAGATTTAGGAACTGTATCTGATCCAGCTGGTTTTCTGCAAAATAATAAAAATAACAGATTTATTTCCATAGAGTAAAATCAGTATTCACAAAAATCTCCTCCATAAAGTAAGCTTAATAAGACATCTGAGTGTACTTCCCCATAAGTAACTAAATTAAATGCTGCAATGTAAGGGAGACATACCCTGTTTTAAAACCTTCCAGAACTGTTAGGAGCCTTCATGTTGATTATGACCAAATCCAGATAAAATTTGTGGTGCATTAATAGAAACTGCAGCATGGAGCAGCAGGGGTTCATAAGTCTTTGCTTCAGTGCACAATCAATCCAGGAACCTAGCAGAGTTTAAGTAATTTTTGTTGTGGCTTTCAGACTGCTATCCCCAAAGATCCATAAACAGTCTGCAGCTGCTCCTGAGATCAAGTTAAACAGCAATATGCACATCCACCTGTATCATTAACAAAGGCAGGAGGCAGAGCTGAAGCCCCAACAAACAGGTTTTGAACTTGGTAACAACAGTAGACTTTTTTGGATGTCAAATGCCCCATCTAATCAGGGGTACAGCTCCTCCACCAAAAAATGAGGATTAATGCAGTTACATCCCCAGCCCATCATTTGGTCTCTCACTGTCTCTGTTTACACTAACATGGGTCCTCAGCTTGAAATGGTGACAAAAAATGAGGGAATACCTTGCTATGAAACAGATACTGGAATATCATCCCAACCTCCACCAGTGCAGTGTGGTTTAAGTAACATCTACAAAGTCTTTGCAACATGTCCTAGCAAGACCCTGACAGCCAAGGAGCAGCAAGACCCAAACAGAACCAAATGTAGCTTCAGGGTCCCCTGTAGATTCAGGCACCATATACTTACACTCCTCCAAAGTCCACATACAACCATCTCTGCAGTAGCTCGTAAGTCACCAGAGTTACACCAAACTGAGGAGAAGATCGAAATACACGAGCTTGAAAGAAAAGAAAAGAGCTTTTAAGTGACAAAAGCCACAATTCGGAATCACTTGGCAATCCAAGCTCTTTTACACACCTCCTGCTCCTTTCCACAGAGCCTTTGGACCTTCCTCTCGCAGGATCTTAGCAAAGCAGTCTATGACGCCACTGTAGGTGGTCTGTCCTGCCCGGGCTGCCACCTGTAGCCTTGTTTTGATCACATCTGCAGGGGTGACCAAGGAGGCTGCAGGCATACCTGCACAACAAAAAAATCATCAGGTGGATACCTCTAGCTTGTCACATGTGATACACACCTCATTTACCCAGGGGTAAGCAGGCCTTTCCTCCTTTACACCAGGAGAATCCAGTCACATTTGATTTAAGTAGAAACTGGGAAGCAACAAGAGGTGGTTGTTGTGGACATGGCTTCGCCCAGAGAGAGCTTCTCCCTGAGGAACAGCAATGTCACATGCTTCCTGCCAAGCTGGGAGGCATGGACTGGAGTTTTCAATGCTAAACAGAAACTGGCACAGTTGGTAAGGACAAAGGTTTTGGTGGTAAGGGTTCTCTTTCCCTTTCCTTTTCATGCCTCTCTGTGGTACCTGGCATCCTGGTTGTACACTGTGCTAGAATAGCCTGTACACACACCCCCCATCCACACACACGCACACCAACACCCCTCATGCAGCAACATCACCAAGAACCAGATAATGCCGTGCATGCTCAGCAAGGCATGGGACCTAAGGCTTACAAAAAGGGTCATTCTTCTCATTAAGAATGGCAGACTGCTCAGCTGCAAAGCCACAGCTGACATCCTCATCAGAATATTTGGAGAAAGATTTAAATTTACCCTGGCAGATAATCAACTGAAAGCAAAAAATACCGAATTATCAATGGGTGGTATTTCTAAAATCATTCTTATCCAAACTGGGGCTGCCCATGTTTGGAATTGAAAAAAAAACAAAACCAAAGAAAAGCACTGAGACTGTACCCAGAAGACACTGTCTCTTATGGTTTTATTACTTTTCCATTCTGCATCTGTTCCAAACCAACTTGGTTAGACGTAGATGCATAAATCTCCTTTCCTTTTTTTTTTTTCAGGCTTAATAATTCTATAACAACTTTTGTCCAAACCAGCATGGTTTGGCTTCAAGTTCCAGGGCACCCTTCCTGCAGACTGCTCCAAAAGATCTAAATGTGTGCATATCACCAAAAGAAGAGTTTCTCCTCCTCCTTTCGGGAACCCCAAAATAATGCATACGCTGAATTTGCACAGTGGGCTGTCTGGCAGGCAAGCGCTAAAACCTGGTCAAGGTTTCTGAACTCCAGAAACACTGAAATTCCTCTTTGCTTGGCCTTACCCACATCAGGATATTGCTTGAGTCTTCAATTTAAAGATGGACTTCTGTCCTTCAAAAGCCAACCAGTGTTTTCAAGGAAAACCAAAGGACATATTTAGAAACAATTCTGCTCACTACACATTGACTTCTATCTTCTTATTCCACACTCTATATTACTGAGGGTATTTTGCAGTTAAAGATGTTTTAAATCCTTTTTTTAGGAGCTACGTGCACAGGACAAAAGACTCTATAGACAAATCGAATTTACAGATTGATGCCATGAGGAACTTAGAATGTGACAAACAGCACAGCAGGAGCTGACAAGAAAAAAGGGGAGTGAGGGGAGGAGAAGGAAGTTTATGGAGCCAATAAGCAGATGGAGCAAGTTAAGGAGATATCCTGTACATGATACAAGAATCATTAGAAAATGCCATTGCACAACAGGTTGAGACATCTCATGAACAGTGAAAACCAGCAGCAGATCAAGCTAGAAGACATGCATGTTGCCTGTGACCCCACGGCAGTGAAAAGGAAGACAATGTAAGCAGCACAAACAACACCCACTGGTAGGACGCAGGTGCACATATGACCGTGGCCAGCTTGAATAATCCAGCACCACGGGCTGTGGAAATGGGGAGTTTCAAACATGCAGCCAGAGCTCATGCACACATCTGAAGTCTGATGACCAGGTAAGATCCCTGGCCACAGCAGAGACATCAGCCCAGAGACTGAAGCCAGTGTTTCAGAGGTGGTGGGTGTTTTGTTTTGTTTTCCCTTGACTTTCTCATGGCAAAACAGTGGACACATGCACCCCCACCAGGCTTTACTTGTACCCAATAAAATAAATTTATTGGTTTTGTAAACAGTACGATGAATGCTGTATCTCTAAAACTATAATTTGCTCATGAGACTTAACCTAGGATGGGATTCACAGGAAGCACTGGATAAAATTCACTTTATAGCTAGATTGGTGAGCCATATCAGCAACAATAAAGACTGCTTCTGTGCCTGAACTTCAAAGGGACGGTTATCTCAGTCTGCAATCACCTGACAATGGCTAGAAAGAGAAAAATAGGAAAATCTAAGAAATTACTTGGCTTAAAAATGCCAGCTTATGTTTCAAGTCTGTAAATATGATCTAAAGTTCAAAAATTGTTTTGTTCCATTAAAATGGGTGAGAAATAAGCTGGCTGTAAAAACTCCTGTTGGGGGGCTTGGAGCCTGGCCTTGGAATGTGGTGGGGGAGGGGAGAGGACAAGGGGGTTTAAGCAGCAGCCATTGGAACACAGCTGGCTTTGCTAGTGCCAGGTTGTTCCTCTGGACTGTGAGCTACTGAACAGAGAGTTGTATGCTTCAACAAGGCAAACCAACTGATCTCAACTATCATCTAAGACCAGATATAGGCTACAAAAGGGCCCTCCTCCTCAAGGGACATAGCCCTGAGTATAATCTTGACAAGTAAAGTTTTCTTGGGGAGAAGGAAGCTCAAAATCAAATGAGAAAACATTGCTAAACCACTTTTCTGTACTGGATTTATGCCACTCCATCATTTTTCTCATGTGGCAGGTTGCAGTAGCCTGCCAGGGGCCACACTGGAGGAAGAACTTGGCTGCAGCTCAGACAGACCAACCAGCCCCCAGTGAACACAGTGGATATACCTCCTGATGTGAGCCCTCCTGCTTGCTACACACCCACCCAGAGGTCCATTTGTTTCCTGGGGGAAAAACCACGGACACAATAGGAGGATGTCTCTCAGGCTGCCCTCTCCAGGGGGCAGCTACCAAATGGCGGTCGGTCCCCTTTGGCTGTAGAAGTTGGGTGCTGTGGTGGAACCAGCTCTGCAGCAGATGCAAAGGCAAGATGAGGCTTACAAAGTGTGTCTCTGTCTTCTCCCTTAGGCTCTGGCATGCTCAAGTTAAATGCATCTGTGAGAATTTAAGCATGATTTGGCTTTCCTGTCTGCTCTGCAGCAGACTAAAACAAGCAAGTGCTCAAGATCACACTCAGCACCTCTGTCATATCTGGTACACTAGGAATTAGCAACCCAAACACCAGAAATGTTTTCAAGCTTTTCTGTTTTGTTTCTGTTTTGATATAAAAAAAATGATAAACGTAAAATCCTCAAGAAGCCACGGAACTTCATGGGACAGGGTAGGAAGTACTGTCATCACTTTGTCACCTGTTAGTCATTGTGTTTGGAGAGTTGTACTGCTAGTGTGGCTTCTGGACTCTATATACCAAAATTCAAGATATATTTGATCATAAAGAATTTCACGAATGCCATGATTTTGTTTATAAATCATTTCAACAAAACGTTACCAGTCAGTCAGACACAGCCAAAACTAGCACAGTAACTTTATAAGGAATGATGATATATGGTAACAAAACATCAGCACTTTATTTTCCCTTTCTTTCACTTCCTGAACATTAGGACTAAACCAGGAACTTAAACTTACTCTACAGCACGGTAACTTTGTTGTTTCTGCGTAAGGTTGTGAATTTGAGCGTTTTTGGTTGTTGTTCTCACTGCCATAACTATTGGGCTGCCAGTGCAATATAGTGCCATGCAAAAAGAAATCTGGGCACTTACCAGCTATTGATCCAGCCAAGAGCAGATTTCCAGGGCTAACCCTCCCATCTTCATTTGCAAATGAAGCTTTCAAATGAGCATAACAAGGGAAGTAAATGGCAGAAAAGGGGATATCACGCAGAAAACATGCCTTAGCACCCTGTGTTGAAAAAAAGAACAAGTTTTGAAAATGACCAAATTTACACCATGAACTATGAACATCAGAAAACAGAGAAATATCAGAGGGTTTTTGGTTTGGTGGTGGTGGTTGTTGGTTTTTGATTTTTTTTTTGCTGCAAAGGGCTTTCTCTGCAAAGAAATTTCTCCTCTCAGAATTTTGAGAGATCCATGTATTTCACCCCACTGAAGAGTTGTGTGTGTGTTGTTTCTTGGTTCAGTAATTTCTGTCACTGTATGTATCTTGTCTACTTGTTCTCCCCCACTCCATAGTACTGTAGTTATGTGCTGGTAAAGGACAAAATGTCAGGTGTTTGACTAAACTCTGATATACTTTAAATAGTTAACACTGTAGCCATGAACCTGTATTGGGAATTTAGGATATGTTTGAAGGAGATGAAGACACAGGACAGATTTGTCCCCTCCCATTCCCACTTAAAATAAATACTTCAGGGAAAACAGTGCCCAGTCCATACATCTACAGAGACACTTTAATTTATAATGCAACATATATTGAGGAAAAGAGGGAAACAAAGAGAGTAGGACCATAACAATATGTCTTTTACAGAACAGTAACAGGATGATTTACTTATGAATTTTCAAGTACAAGTTATCTAGAATACGGTTTGTTTAAATAAATCTCATCTCCTACTGTTAAATTTGCCTTGCTATCAATTTGTGGAAGTGGCACAAACGAAGCCAACGAAGTTACCAGCAATACAGCTGGTTTCCAATCTAAGAGGGTGGCAAACAGGCAAGGGAAGTTTTGGGGTAGTAGCAAGCAATCAAAAAAAAAGCAAAAGGGCCACTAGGGAAGGTCAACCAAAATAAAATATCAAACAACATCCATGCTCCAACAACAAAAGGGACTTGCAATCTGCCTTTCCTCAATATGGAGTTCTAGAGGACACCAGAGCCTGAACATACTAGCACTGAGACCAAGAGGAAGGCACAAACAAGAGGTGGCTTGGGAAAATGGGTAAAATGTTTCAAGCTTGAGAAAGAAATAGTTCATGAATGAGCCTAAGCGTCTTTTCTTTGAAGCAAGGGTGGAGACCTGGTGAAACAGCTTGAGGTTCATCCACGAACCCTCCTAGAGTGCATTTATTACTGTACTTCTCTTGTGCACAGGTCTACCTGCTCAGGGTTCAGTGCCAGACATCTCCCAGAGCACATGTTAATATCCACATAATTTAACTAAATCTAATTATATGCCTGGACAAATCTGTAAGCTTCTTGTGTACTACAGTATCAGTTAAAATATAGTGCTCATCCAAGTTAGATGCTGGCTATCAAAGACAAAAGAGCTGCAAGGTGTCAGAAAAACCGTAAAGTTGCCTTCCCATGAGGCAAGCAGGATGTGTGACGAGAAAACCAGGTCCTGCAAGCCAGTTCTCAGGAGATGTTAATAAGTGCAGTTTGCAGTCAGAGAATGCCTATGAGAAAATAAAGGTTTATCTAAAAAGGCCATTAGGTCTTGCAGTCAGACTTTCTGTATGTCAGACTCAGCACAACATGCTCTGCTCCAGCCCCTGCTGGTTCCCACCACTCTTTCTCAGCTTATTTCTTGATGTTTTCAGACTGAGAACTGACCACTTCCCCTGACACTCCCTTTGGAGGTTAATGTCTCCTGCCGTTCAGCCCCTTTGCCTTCTCACTCGGCGGGATTTGTCTGATTTATGCTGCCAGTCACTGGTTCTAGTTATGACTTTCTAAGAGACACTAAGGAAAATGCCATAAAGGAACTCAAAAAGCGCTGCCGTTGTAGCTGCTCCGCTGTTTGCCTGCACTGAATGGGGTTATCAGTCACAGAACAAAGTGATGCTGGGCTGGATTCTCCTCTCAAAATTACCTACAAAGCCCATATACTCTACCTTGAGAGAGAAGGTGACTCTTGTGTATTCATCAGAAACAAGAATTATCAACTCTAGCACGCAACAGAAGACTGTTTAACAATTTATCTTCAATCTTCACATAGAAAGACAAAACTAGGGTTTTACCAAGTTCTGTAGGAAAAACTCCCACTTTTTAAAGATCAAATGTCTGCCCTGTATTTACTTCACAGAAAAATGACAAAACTCACTAAAGTAACATTGACAGACTGACATGGTTTCTTCAAAGATTTATTTTTAGAGCATGCTTTTCCTCAGAGCAAATCTTCTCACTGCCTTTGCCCTCAGGGCACATTACTTCTATTTTCTTTGCAATGTTGTCATTAAATACTGTGCACATTTTTTCCTCTACATTTTCTTCATACTTTGAAATATCTTGACATGGTTAAAATAACTTACTGAAATCAATAAACTCCAAATGCAAGCAACTCTTAGCTCAACCTGAGCTGCTAATATTCTTCCCCCTTCATTAAAAGGCTCTCTTTCATGGGGCAGAGGTGGTATATTGTTAATATTACTAATAGTATACATTCAAGTATACGGAGAGGGAGGGATGTCCATCAACTTAGTTGGCTCAGTGTAAACAAAACCTGGATCAAAACTTGGATCCACTTTAATAATAACCCAGCTTGGATCCAGTCCAGCATTGCAACAGTCTAAAGTTTCTCCTCATCGTTCCCGTTTAAAGTCTGGGAAAGCATGTTTAAAAGCAGGCCTCATTTAACTTCAAGTTAATCATCCACAACCAGCCTCGGCCAATTAGGAAGGCTTAGGGAGATTGGCCACAGTATCTTGAAAAGCAAAAGAAACATTTATTTTACTTCTCGCACCTTTTTGATGTGGACAACGTGCTGAAAGCCAAAAGGAGTTTTAATCAATCCCCAGAAAGCTGTAAGGATCATCTGCCCGAGTTTATTCTGGCAGCCAAGGTGCAGACCTGCCAGGCATGAAATTGTTGGGAGATCCTACACACCACGACATGTGCCTCCCTCAAACAACAGCCAGTTGGCTCCCATCTTCAATCTCTTTAATAACCTTAAAGCCCTTAATCTGGGATAGTATCTTGCTGAATAAACCAACAGAGGGAAAAAAAACCCTGATTGTCAAAGATTCTGATAAATAAACCCAAGTCAGTGCTGGGGCAGGTTCTTTAGCATGCTAATTCCTGCTTATACCAGCTCTACCTGCAAATAAGGCTCTAAACAAACTATTTCTACTACAAGGGGAGGGTAATTATACTGACAAAGGCACCTCTGTGTCGGGTTGGGCAGAAGGAGCCGGCAGGTCTGGGAGACGCAGGCTTAGCCTAGTCTCCTGCAGTGAATGCACATTGTCTAGTGCAGGGGGAAAAATGCCAGACTGGGGGGACCTAGCAGCATTCAAGACAACAGTAGTGCACCTTGTCTGGGAGGGTTATTTAATGCTTCTGGCACCTGTACTTACAGCCACCCCCTCTTTTTCTCTTTTACAGGTTTAGAATTTATTTGGCATGTATAATTGTTATTTTGATCCTATAGCTACAAACAATAGGCAGCATGTCATTTCTTGATCATTTTGCATTCTTCTTGGGGTTTACTACAGACTTAACCCTTTGGAATCAGGGCCCTAACGGCACCCAACAGGTTTTGTAACTATCCATCAAATATTACCAGCGTTTGCTTTCAAGGGCTGCAATTTTTTTTTTTTTACTGTTAAAATGACATCGCCTTACAAAAGCTACCATAGGTTTTTATTCACATAGATTTATACTAACCAAAATATGAAACTGATTTAGAACATCAAGCTACAGGAATAAAACACTGATTTCAAATGCTCTACCAGCAATTTTGATTTAGTTTGCAGAAAAGAAATACAGCAGTTTTTAGTTGGAAGAGCATTTTTTTTTCTTAATTTCAAAGGAAATTTCTGAAAAGCAGGTTCTCATATATGACAACACAGTCACAAATGTGTGTATTCACAGGCATGGTGGATGCAAATGAATGTAACTCAAAACTTTTATTACTCTGTTTCATATGTTTATCATCCTGCTGTAAACCCTCAACTTCAAAACGTGAAATACCTCAGCTGTTATCAAAGGAACCAGGTGAGAGCTTGGTACACATCCTGTCACCTGAGATTACACTTTCCAGGTCAACACACCAGAAGCTCTTATGAAGTACTTGGAGGTGGTGGGGGGAGGGGAGAAGAGGAGACTTTTGAAAGTTTTTCTGACCAGTTTTGGAAATTAAAACTGTGTTGGCAATATCAGCCAAAGCACAAATCTGAGCTAAATACCTTGTAGTATTTCTAAAAATAAACATTACCACAGCCAACATATCCTTTCCTTGAAGAATCGTTTACTACTGTATTGTTTAATGTCATCCTAGGATCCCAAATAATTTTGTTGTGCATAACTATGGAGTGGTACTGTCTATTATGCTGTAAAGCACTATTCAGAATGATTATTTGTAAGAATAACATTGTATTAAAAATTTTATAGCAGATATTACATGGATATGAGTTTCTATAATGTACAAAATAAGTAGGTGTACTTACAGTGTTTATTTACATGAACACTTTAAAGATGTCTTTCAAAACCAATAGAATATAAATTTAACTGACTTTAACAGGACTTTATGCATGTTAATGCACTAAAACAGGCAGAAGACACAAAATGTATTAGCTAATCTTGGACTATTACTTCAATATTCAACTGTGACCAGAAATTGAATAAAATCTATTAAAAATACTGAAAATTAGAAATGTATTTTTTCCCATTTCTGCCAACACAAATGACATTTTGCATTAGATTAAATGCTATTTTCCCTGACTATGTTGTCTCTATATTTTTAAGAACAGCTATCATCTACAGAACATCTGTAGCTAAAGAAAAACTTACTAGTCACAAGCTTCCATGCCCTGGTGCTTTCACAGAAACAATTACTGGCAGAAAGAACACAAAAGTGCTGTTACATGCCTCCCCAAAGCAGCAGCTGGATCTTGAGAAGTACAATGTTTTAAAATGCTTATTTATACAAGTAGTTCAGAATTTTAGACAAAGGCAAAAAAAATATTTGCTTTCTACCTTTAAAGAACTACAGGGGTTCAACCC